ACGCATGGAATCTACTTGTTGCGCACATCGGTGCTATATTCCTCTTTTCCGCTGCTTACGAATACAATTGGCTAGGTAAGAGAGTTTTTGTGACTTTTATGAAGATTATCACTGAGCGATTGAGAAAACTAGGCGGAGGTACTCTACCGTTTATTTCATTTGAGCTATTGGATCACAATGGAAATTCATATGATACCGCTGCAATAATAAATGTCGACGGGACAGAGAAGACTGAAGCAGTGAATAGGTTGGGACTTCCATTTTTCTCCACCGCTTATATAATTGGGAAGGCTTGTATGTGTCTAGCCACGGCTGCTGCTTTCACAGCAGCCATACTGCAAAATTGGAGGACCATCAAAGACTTGATCACTAGAAAAGAAATCGAAACAGACCCCCATCGCTTGACTTGTAAAAAATTCAGAGATTTCCCTATGTGGTAAGTCTTTCTCAAGTTGTTTTTTAAAATTCTAGAAATTCTCCAACCACAGGTAATAAGAATCAATTCCGTTGGTCCAGGGCGTTTGTTGTTCTCTTGATAGTATCCATCGCCTTGGCGTTTATAGCTTCCTATGTAAACAAATCTGGACTCTCCGCATGGGGACTTACCTCGGCAATTCTGATATCCGCTTTACTAAGGTGCGTCTAAACCGAAAATTACAGGCATTTTTTCCTTGGAAATCACTCATACCTGTGTGATTCTAGTCTTGCCTCCGGGTTTTTTTATGGCTCAACGGGTATAAGACTTCACACATCTCCAGGTAAGAAGGAAGGCGGGGTCTATTTTTTTCACTCGAACCAATGAATCTTAGAACGCTTTCTGTTTTGGATACAGTGGTTCAGATGCTAGGGTGAGTAATCTTTGGAATGCGAATTTCACATCTTGATTCCTAGAAATTCTACCTGCCATTGATCAGAACACTAATCGATTGGATCAAAACATTATTCCACAAGGGGTCTTCTTTTTCCAGGGAATGCTGTTGGAACCATGTGGTTTACAACGTAAGAATATTTTTAATGTGAATCAAAACCCTATAAATGGAGACTGATTGAATTTACTTGTTGCTTATGGTCAGATTTGGATCCTCTACAGGTAAACATAAATTACGACTTTGTCATGTGACCTGCCTGTAAAACTGAGATCTCGTTTTATAAAGCTTCACAGTCAACACTGATGCTAAAAGGTATATTTTCAACATCAAAATTCTACCCTTGAAAATTTTTGCTAAGTCCAACTCCCTTGATATGAAATATTTCGCTACTCAATGGAATCGGATTTACAAAAGAACTCAAGCTGTAAGTCCTTATTTTTCTCTTGTGAGTAATAATTAAATCTGAACTTTTTTGGATTTTTTGTTGTTAAGCGGACAAGTTAGTTGCTCTGTTTCAAATAATGTGCTGAAACTTTAGTCCTAAAACTATTGGGCTTCATTGTTTAATCCATCATGAAACGGATTTATAAAAATCAAGTATATGCACCTTTCCTCGGTACGTAATGACTGAAGCAACCCGTTCGTTTTTGCAAGCACATCACAAAATATTGAATTAACCTACTGTTCATGTATGTCTCATGACTACCCAGTTTTCGATTGTGGTTGGCCAACTTATTGGAACGTAAGTCGTTCAGATGTTTAAGCATGGACCAGCAAAAATACAGCCCCAAATCCAACCCTCATTGATTATTTTGAGTAAACTGATCTTTATGAATTTACTTCCTTCAGAGTGATTGGAGTTCTCATCAACTTCGTAGTATTTTTGAGCATTTTGGTATGCATTTGTTCTGCTGCCCGGTCCAAAACATGCTCAGGATTGAATTTCCGTGGCTTAAAAAATCAAAACAGTCCTCTGAAAGAGAAGCACTTCTCAAACCTGAAGGGAATTCAGCTTTCTCAGGCATGCATCTCACTTCATTTGAGGCACAATCAATAACGTGGGTTCAAAATTCAATCAGTTTTATCATTGTTCATACAAGTTAATGTTTCAATTCAAAATAAAACAGTTGGGGAATTTTTGGAAAAAGATTGTATGGATCAGGAAAAAGATATGTAAGTTTGGAAGATCAACTTGAATCATTAGAATGAGATCTCTGTGAGGCTTAATTTCCATGAATCTCTCTCTCATTTTAAAAATTTGAAGGCATTTGTCCCATACAGCCTGGTGGCCGGATTTTTGTTACCAATCCCCTTCTATTTCTTACAAAAGTACTATCCAAAAATGATATTATCAAAGATCAATGTAGCATTGATAGCTGGAACATTCTATGTATCTATCCAAGGTGTGGATCTCAAGATGTTTTTATTAAACTAACATGGTATGCCAGCTAACACACAATTTACAGGACTCACAAGTGGTGCAACCATGAAGCTATTGATTGGATTCATGTCTCAGTTTTACATGAAAAAGTATCATAAATCTTGGTAAGTTTAAAAAACCTGTTCCAAAATATGTTTCTTTGAAATACTGTGTGTGGGTATCATTTTTAAGATTCTCATGCCTTTCTTCAATTGCTTTTGGGAAAAATAAAAAGGTATGATAAATACAAGTCAGTCTCTCTGCATTATCAGAAAAATTAGAGAATCAAATAAAGGGGAGAAAATGTAACATTTGTTCTGACAAAAGATTGTATTTTAATAATGAGCCTGTAGTTACATCCTGAGTGCAGCACTTGATGGAGGAACTCAGATGGCAATCCTTATATGTACCTTCCTTTTCCAAGGAGGGGCAGGACTTACAGTACTCTTTCCCCAGTGAGTATATTCATAAATATGAAAATTTCAACTAGGAATATGGAGTTAATTGTGACCTCTGGGTAACTGTTTGCACTTATTTTACTTTCTAATAGCTACTTTCTCAACCCATCTCAAGTCCCACGTGACTACTGCCTCAATAATAGTGGCTAGTAGAGCCAGAATTCATAATCAACAATTAGCTAAATTTAAATTATCAAGATTGTGGTAAGATAGGTTACCACTCAAGATATCATTGATAATATTCAACATTAGTGTGCATTCAATCCTTTTCTCCCAGGAATTGAAATCAAAATCAAAATTGGACATCTTCACTTTGGTGGATTTGTTCAAATGTTTATCATTCATTTTTTACAAACTACAAATTTTCCATGTTGTGTACAGAAGCTTTAGATCTAGCCTAGCTCTCAATTTCAATTCATATCATGGGCCCAATAGTGAAACCTTATTGTAAATTAGATGGATAATTATAGTATAGTTTGGCAAATTTATCAGAAATGGGAAAGAAATAGGATTCGAGATGGTCAACGGGTATCCCTTGCAGATACCCATCATCCGCTGGCGGATACCCGCCAGTGGGTGCGGATGGCCCCTTTTCTGCAAAAACCTGGCGGGTATCCGGGTATCCCCAAGGATACCCAAGGCTGGAAGGTGAGATGGCCGGCTGGAAGGGTTTCCTTCCAGCCAGCAAGGTACATGTACCTCTATGGCTGGAAGGAAAACTTGCTCTATCCCAGCACACCAGAGAAAAAGAGAAAGTTCTATCGGACGTGTGTCTTCCGGGCCGTCCGGTCATTTGAGGCAGCCCAGGATTCAGCCGCCTCAGAGCCGCTGGACAATTAAAAAATGTGTCTGCTGTGCAGTGCGCACAGCAAAAACCATGTTTTTTTGTTAAGGCCCCATTTTTTCTTTGATTTTTCCTTTTTTCCATTTTTTCTTTTGTTTCTCACAGCCTGTGGCCCTCCCAAGGCCTCCTGTATGGGCGGGTATCCCTTGGGATACCTGGATATCCGCCAGGATTTCAGGGGGAAGGGGGCATCCGCACCCGCTGGCGGGTATCCGTTGGCACTGGCGGGTATCCGCCAGCAGATAACGGATATCCGCAACGGATTATCTGCGACCATCTCTAACGACTACTATACCTCTGCCCATTGCTTCTGCGCCCTCCAGCTCTTCAATTCTTGCCATCCTGCTCACCTCCGTCGTGCCCTCGACTGACTATGTGCTGAATGGCAACACCTCAAAATTCCAACTTCAACAATCCCACCAGATCCTAAGATCTCTAAAGACAATCAATCCCATAACAACTTCAAGATCTTTCGTCATGGAGTCTTGCTTGACTCTTTATCAGTCAAGGTAAGACAATAAATAATTAAAAACATGGATAGGGAGTTTTCATATCTTATTTAGCATGAATGAAGAAATGGTAGACCATATAATACACCAAGAAAACTGTATGCAGGTTATTTTTTTCTGATGTAGAGTACCTAAAACTAGTTTGTATCCTTAATTTTGAATCATCACAATATGTATGTTGAAATAGGTACATAGATTTAGTGGTTTGAGGAAAAAGAGAGCCCATGGCAAGTGTATCAAATAGGACACAATTGATTTTATGTATTAATAAAGGAAACTCCAAATTTTTAGAAAAATAACTATTTTCAAACAATGGACTGTATGTCCAAGAGTAAATCAATAGTACTAAATTTTACCAAGAATTTTGCTGATGGGTGAATCTGCCTCATTCCCCAACACATGGCAATTACATTATCCATCAGCAATATAATTACAAAGGACCCATAAAAGTGGAAGTCTACATCCAGTACTCATTGACAGGAAAGTTGCCTGCCTTCTGCAACATGTGTGAGAAAAAAGTCAATCAAACCAATAAAACAAAAAAAATGAAAAATTGCAGGAAAAAGAAAAGAACTAACTATATAGTTTGCACGGAAATTGCTTCTAATTTGGTTGGCCCTGGTTTGGTACTCTCTCAATGCAGTTCTCAATTCAATATCAGTAGGAGAAGCACTGCTTTGTCCAACTTCAATATTAGACAACATCTGCTTGATCCTGGTGCAAACTTTCATCACAAGGAGTTCCAGATCAATTCATAAACTATGAAATATATAAATGACAATTGAGAGGAAATGAATTAACTTACCATGATGGGCATGATAAGCTGGTGTGGCAATAGAAACCGAACGTGTAGCACGTGAATAATTGAAGCACCTGCATGATTTTTGTGGAAGAAAAAAAAGGAGTTGTTAGAAATAAAATAGGTTTTCAGATCAGTCACCCAGAGGCTTGAAACTCACAAATGGTAAGTCAACTGGAACAAGAAGATGAGAAAAATGACAAAATCATGTTGATTCAATTTCAGCACATTGACATTGATCACAAACAGAAGAGGTAAAAACTAACATTCTGAAGGCTGTCAGATAAGTATTTGGCATCATCCACCAGGACAGTGTAATGGGAAGCTCGAGAAGTTCCAAGGATTCCACCATGACTAAGTCCATACCAATCAAAGTTAAATGGATGAACAATATCCTAAATTCAAAAGTTAATGAGAAAGTTAATGGATTTCTATTTGATTGAAATAAATGGAGATTGAGATCACTGACTGTGTCAATGACCACACCTGGCAATAAGTTCCCTTTGCTGTCACAGTGGTTTTTATCCTTTGTTGTAGGCCCAAATTTGAAGTGGTGCCTCTTTCCACAGATTATGTATGTTAACTTAATTTTGGCTGCCTGGGACTTGAGAAAAACATCTCAGTTAGCTCATCAATTGAAACAAAATAAAATCCTGAAAGAACCAACTTTACATCTTTCATCTTCTCCCATTGCATTTATTGCTTGGCGGACCAGGGGGATCTCCTTTGCAACTACATCTGGGAATTGGCCTTCACTAACCCCATCACGGTAAAATATCAAATTTTCCGGGAGCAATCGGTTGTGTTGATAAAATTTAATCAACAGTTGCTACGGATGTACATGCATCATGAGCTCAATCTGATAAATTGGAAATTAAGAGAGGCATCCTACTAACTTTTACCATGATGTGGAGGTCAGAAATGATTTCTTGGCGACCCGGTTGGACAGAAAATTCTGCAGCATAGCAACTACCATAACGGTTGGTAGAACCAACAACAGCAGCAATGGAGGGCTCTAAGCTATCCCTACCAGGGTGTGTTACATCTGCACCTAACACATAAAAATTAAATGTGAGGCAAAATACTCAACATCCATTTGAGTCACTTGTTTTAAATTTTTTAATTAACTTACCCATTACCATGGTGCAGCTTGAGAAAATTGAACCATTTTTGCCCACACTATGATTGACACCTCCTAGCTTGGCATTGCTGGGGACAACAAAAAAAAATCAATTTAAGGCATGTGTCAATGCTGAAAGATAGACAGATGTGGGCTTACATCTTAAGTGTGACATTGCTGATCAAAGAAAAGAATTCAAATCAGATCAGTTTTAATTTTGATACATACTTAATGATGCCATTCTCAAACTCACGCAAAATATTGAGCATTGGCCCTTCCTTTCACTTTTTCAACATTCATACATTGAGTGGCAATTCCTTGAAGTGAGTCACCAAAAATTTTCAACTGTGGCCAAAAAAAATATAAACATAAAATTAACAATTGACAACATGAGCAAGAAATGGGATGTCATACCTGACGATATTCCCAAGCATTTTTGTCTCCCAAGAAGCAGACAATCAACTGTGGTTTTCTTTTTATCTTGGACATTATCCATTTCCCAACTGACTCGTCATCTGAGGGCAATAAAGGCTCATTTTTATCCACAAAGATGGCTGGCCCTTGGAGGCCACTCACTTGCATACCCACAGCCTTCATAGCTGATTGAAGGCCTTCTAAAGCTTGGGCAGCTTGTGCCTTAGAAATTCCAAAGTTAGCCTGGCTAAGGACGATGGCAACCCTGAAAAAATTTGGTGGAAAAAATAGGGGGTTAGAATAACCAGATAGAATTCTGAGTGAGGGAGTAGGCTCACCAGCTTGTTACTGCCACAGGTTGTAGCAGCTGTCCACAAAAAGGACAAGTAAGAAACCACAGTCAAGAAGGAAGGAAAGTTGAAACTCAGTGTTTTACCATTTTTCCAGACAAGTTCCAGGCGCCATTTCCAAATTTGTCGGTGGAGGAATTCGATTTATTGGCGCTTTGAGGTGCGTAATAAACGGTTGGTGGTGCCAATTGACGGGCGCTGATGACAAGGGGGTTAGCTTCCAACTCAATGGTCCATCGATCAATACTGATTAGAAAAGCACACAAATAATTTCAGGTAAGTTGATTAGACTGCCTCAAGACTCAAATAATGTGACGATAAAGGGATGAACTGCTTACGTGGTACCAGTTCTGAGGTGATTTTGAATTCCATTAGTAAGCATCCTAGTGCGATCTTGTGGTCCGACTGTCAGCCACTTGATAACGTCACTTAGTCGCTCTGGGGACAACTTCTTGGAGAACTTTTGACCAGGGTTGACATGACAGATTTCAAGGGGGTACCATCCCTTGCCAGTCAATCTGACAATGGGTTCATTCGCACCCTTGAGCTTCATGTTGTAAGTGAATTCAATGTATTCCTAAATTTTTGGGGAGAAACGCAAGAGGAAAAATCAGGGAAACATTCAAGAAAGTCGCATAATTAAGAATCCAGATCCTACCGCAACATTCCACTTCTTCATGACTTTTGAATCCGGTGACACAGGGGCCTCGAAGATCATCTCTCTTGCCGACTTTGCAACCTCTTTGATTTTAGTCCTCAATATAGTCTTGTCAACTCGACTGACAGAGACTGTCATCATCTTCAGAGAGCGGGAAAGAGTGATCAATTGTGTAGGAAGTAGCCTTTGAAGGGATCCGGGGGGTTCAACTCCCAACACAGCAACAGCTACATCTCTCAGGTTTCCACATGTCAACATGGGCTGAGAAGTCAGATCGAAATTCAAAATGACACCTCCAGGAGCCATTCGGATTGAACTAATGAAAAGGGGGGCAGAGTGAAGAGTGAATGAGTGGTGGGGCAGATACGGAAATGGGTGAATCAGCAGGAAATCACCTAAAGTAGCCGCGCCACATCTCGATTCCCTCTTTCATTTTGAACAACATGCCTGATGAGCCAACTCCTTGGGGACGAGGGAAGAACTTGTTCTTTGAGTTAGGATGAGTCATCATCATGTCGTGATTGAACAAGACGTTCAATGCGGTGCTGCAGATAATCCACAAGGAACAAGAAGAAAGGTAAGTTTAGCTGGGGATAAGCGAGGCGGCTCCTTGAATGATCAACTAACATGGCAATGTAAACGCCTTCATCCGGAGTGGGTCCAACTTGCCTCTTGACATACTTGAGCAGATTATCGAGTTTCACCTCGTTGACTTTGGTGATCTAGAATATACGTTTGGTTGTTAATTTGAGACGAAGAACGAATTGAGGAAGGCGCAACAACGCACAACCACCTTGAACGAACGGTTACGTTTGGCAGCGCGTTCGGCTGGTGAGGCCAGATTGACGTCAAACTAAACAGGAGAAAGATCGCATGGACCAAGTTAGTGAATGCGTCTGAGAAGGTCGTGATGAGTGAGAATAGAGGCTCTGACGGTCTGTTTATCATGGGGAAAATTAAGGGCTTGCGGCGAAAACACGGTCTTTCTGCCATCGTAGACCACCGAATGTTGTTGGAAAGCGTCCATCGCCTTCAAGGCGGTAAAGATCTCCCGGCCGAGGGACGGCGGCACGTCACCGACGGTGCCGTGTTTGTTGACCAAGCCTTCAATAGCAACCTATTATTCGAGTTCAACACGGATTGGCTCAATATTGATGTCCGAGATATACGGGACTATGTAAGCCCGGGCGTAAACCCGAACGGATCATGCCGTCGACGAGGTTCAGCAGATATTTCATGGACTTACATCATAATGATGGAGGACAAGGCTGGGTACTTTGACTTTGTAGGCATTGACGGTTACCTTCAACTTTTCGCCAAGTCTGGGATGATAATCATCGATGTCAACGGGACAAGAGGCAGGCGAGTTAAACGATAGCACCAAGTCGGCAAAAGTCAAGTGCGCGATAAGTCAGCGGGATACTTTTTCAAGAAGGGACAAAAGTAGTTCTCATTCACTGACGTTCCGGCCTTAGGCCTAACCATCTGCGTCTCAACCATAATGGAATTGAAATGGAGGGGGTGGGGATTAAGTTTTAACTTGGTGGATTGGAAGTATGGGCGAGTAAGTAGTTGGTGAATATCTTGAGAGGAAGATGGGAATGAAGGAACAAGTTGAAGGTGGGAGGAGGACTGGTCAGGCCGATGATAAAGAAATTTATACTGTTCCTCATCATAAGATAATTGCCGCTATCGGACTGATAGAGAGGAAGGATCTTATCTGATAATGGCCCAATCAGAGATCCTGTGAGAAGTAAGTCAGCGAGCATAACAAGGATCCCTTTGCCCGTGGTGATCTTCTGATCAATTTCTTCTACTTACGAGCAGCACCAGACCAGAACCAGAAGATCGGTAAAAGCCGATGGAACAGTGGCAAAAATCGTCACAAGTTTGGATGGGAAGAGGAAAGTGGGAGGATGACCCAGGCTACGCCCTGAGAAGTGGGATGATTAGTAAAAAATTAGAGATTTTGCCTAAATTCAAACCAAACCATCGTCCCGATGACCGGCCTTGGCTGGTGTATGACCGGCCTTGGCCGACATCGGATACCGGCCATACACCGCTACATAGATGGCCAATCAAGACCGGCCACTGAGTGGAAGGCAAACACTACTTGATGCCGTTCAAGACCCGAGCTTATCGCAAGGTACCTCCGAGAAGATCGCAGCGCAAGGAAGCTATCCTTGCGGAACCCTCCGACCGAGAGGCCTTTGTTAAGCTCGGTCAAGACCGGTCATCGAGTGGTGGTACGGACTCGATGGATGACCGATCCGGATGTGCACCGGGCACCGAGTGGTAGGTGTGATCACCGGTTTGTACCGGCCGACCCTGACGAGGGGCGGGTGAGTGTACTCGCTCGATGGCCGGATCAATCTCACAAAGAACATGCTCAGTCTTGTATGTAAAGCTATAATCATGATGCATCTTGCAAGAAGCTTTTTGAATGTTTTTTTACACTTTCTAATTTTGTTTGGGGTCTTTCCTCTTGGAACAAATCAGGGATAAAGAAGAAGGAAAAACAACAAAACCAAGGATTGTTTGGAATTTTAAATAAAAGCAAATCTCCTCTTTCGCCCCGGGGAGGGGCAAATGAGCGCGGCCCGCCAGCTGTACAGCTGGTGTGGCCCGAACTTAGCCAAGTTCCTCTCGCTCCGCGAGCTCGAGCAGGGTCGGGCGGCCTTCGGCCGCAATCTGGGGGCACTGAAACTGGGACTTGTGCTAAATTCGGGTGTGGCCGCGCCTGCTTTACGCTCCTTGGTTTCTGACTCAAGGCACTGCGCCAGCTCAGACCTGCCTTCCGGCGGTTCTGTGTAAAGTGCTTTTCGGCTATCCCGAGGGCTGTGTTACTCAACCCCGCAAGACAGTCGTGTATGGGTCGTGGGAAGTGACCCCTCCTTGTTTCTCCAAGACGTGAACAGGCGGAGGGACACCTCCGAGCACAAAAACAAGGATTAGAGCTACCTAGGAGGGGGGGGGGGGGATCGGTGCCAGCCCCAACCTACTCGAGACTCCCCCTCCGGTTGACGGGTGGATGGGAGTTCAGAAAAGAATTTTCCGAAATTTATTGGCGGAAGAAAGGAAAGCGGAACTGGGAAGTGAGGTCTGACATGCAGTTGCGGCAAACCGTCTTCCCCTCGGGCCTCAGTCATGCCAGCCTCTTGCGCGCTCAGTGCTGAGCTCATGCCTCTCTCCCGGCCATCGCTGTAGCCGCCCTGACTACAGCTCCCATGGACACAGGTGAACTCCGGGCCACGCCCTGCCGTACACCTCTCATTCTTTTTTTTTTGTGGGGGGGGGGGGGGGAATAAGGACAACATGGATGGTACAAATACCTATTTCCTCGTTTGGAAGGAGGGTTCCCCCAGCCCTCTGGAACGAGGGGATTGTGTTAAGCTAGGTACAAATACAGTTGAAAGCGAAGACAAAAAACCAAAACTTGAATGTAGAGAGCAGGATATTTGCACACATGTTCATCAGGCATGATTGCTGTCGACTTGACTCCCTTTCTGACCCCGGACAAGGATACATAGTGCTCATGAGGCATAGACCATAATAGCCAGTTTCCAAAATGTTTTTCAGAGTTTGTCTGGGAAATCACCTCTGTGATCTGACTTGAATTGGACCTTGTGACGGATCCGGCCGAGCTCTACAAACCGCGGAGAGAAGATCCGAAGTAGTCGTCGACGAACCAGGAAAATTGAGGAGACTGGAATGTAGCTCGGCATGTCCCAATGGATTTCTCCTTCTCTATCGGCATGGGTACACTCCACGAGGCTGAAGGGGTTGTGACTGAAGAAGCAGGAAAGATGGACCGATGGAGAATTATGAAGGAATACTTTACTCCCCCCCCCCCCTTCCCCCCCATCAAAACCTTCTTGACAACCGTTGTTCGCTGTTAGGGTACATTCTTGTGAAGTATTGATTTGAAGCTTCCTATAAAAAGGCTGACATCTGCTAGGGTTTTGAGGGCATTACCCCATCTCTCTGACATCTGCTCATCAATTTTATCAACACGTTGCCAGCCCGGTTCCCCCACATCCACCCATCCAGTCGCCCATTTGCACTGTCATTTATTCAATCATTCCTTTACATCCTTGATTAGACTACGAACCCATTCATAAAGCCATGCAGTTCTCCAGCTTTTTCAAACTATGCACACTCCTTTTGATCCAGAGTGGTGCAGTTTATTCTACATTTGTGTGTAACGACAACAACATTGAGGATGCCAAAGTTGGTATCTGTCTGAGGAAGATCAACACCGCTCAAGATCCCACGGATCCCACTGTGTCACCTTTGTTGGATAAGAAAGATTTCCTCGGTAAGCCTTCTGTTCTGACCACCTTCATGACTTCGCGATACAGATTCTCAACATTTTCTTCAATCTATCTAGCTCGCGATGCCAGAGGGACAGACATTCAATATCACTTTACTTGCGAAGGCGTGACAATTGGCAAGGGACCCGTGGAAGGCAGATTTTGTTGCAAGATTGAGACCTCAACCGCGGTACGTCGAAATTATAACTCGTTCTGATCAGCGTCTTCAAAACAAGCACAACCTAACCACTCTTTCACTATAGATCCGAGGCTTGACCCACGAAGAAGTCAACCGCCTTTGTTACTCTCGGGATGGAAAACCACAATAATCTTCACCTCGCTTTCCTTGTAAATACTACATCTTCCATCTTTCACCATGACAATCTGCATGTGTCATTGTAGAATCATCAGCCACACTGAACCACACTGAAAACCTCAAAAGGTGGCCATGTTGCGATTTCGATGAATTTTTCCCATTCCTTTGTTTTGTGACCATGGGCCTTTACTTGATTAGACATTTCCACGCTCCTTATGTAAGCCACCACGTGTTTGGAAGTAGCTTATTGTCAATAAATTACACTTGAGAATTTTCGCTTCATCAAAACAAACATTTTGAACACGGGTCCCCTGCATATTCAATTATACCAACCTGTCATTCACCCTAATTCCATCACCATGAGACGGCACATCGGTGGGTGGGGGAGTGTAGTAAGCTAAAATTGTCAAACAAATAAATCATAGCGGTTGCTCTGTGGAATCAACATGCAATATTTTCGACAGGCCTACTGCATTCAAGAATGACAAAATATGAAAACTTGAACCTCTTGAAGGTGATGCAACTTGCAACCAAAAAAGGCGGTATTGCTTCCCTAAAAAATTAACCACACGAACATTTCATGTCAAGAACTAACTACAAATCAACCAATATGTTCACTTGTGTTGCCGACATACTGAGGCAGCCAACCTAGGGGGTCTGTTTTGAGTAAATGTTTCTCACACGTTACTTCAAATCCATTTCGGAGGCGGATTTTTATTTACTTACAAAAAATATACACAATAGTATAAACAAAATAAAAATCACTGCTAAACGGTGGTACATAGCTCATGCAACGAGTGCAGAAGGACTATGTTTGTATGTGTGGGTATAGCAAAAAGATGATACGAGGTAATGAAGTGTTGTCCGAGTTAATTACATAAAGCTCATCTTGAAGGAATCGGAGATGATGCTGGGTTTTGCTACCAAGTTTTAGATTGTTACGAGCGGTGAAAACCTAGCGGGGGATTTTTGTTTGATGACTTCTCAGATCGAACGACGAACGTGTCGTCCAGGTCCCTTGCGGTTTATTACCACCAGACCTCGACTATAACACAAGTTATGGAGGCGGTTCCCCGTGAGGGCAATGACCTGTAATGGAAGACAGACATTTAGTTCAATTCCACGAGTGAATGGATGAACAAGAGTCTATTTTTTTGAAAAAAAAAGTTGGTAGCGGCTTAAGTGAAAAAAAAAAAAAACGAACTTTTGTCGAAGGAGGCTGGTCACAACAAAACCTCTCTTCTATGATTTTATCGCCAATTCTCAAGTTAAGACAGGTAAAGTTTTCGCCTCTGGGTGAAGCTTGGATCACTGAATACGTGCATCATTATGAGTAGAAATTCATGAATAATTATTGTATCACACCAGTCGAACGATTACAGAGCAGGCTTACTAAGATAATCTCCATCTTTCTCTGGCGGTAATGTTGTGTCTTGGCCATCAGATGCGTATCTCTTCCTCAGACAGAATCCAAGCTTAGCGTTCGGTTTCGAGCCATCATTACATTTAAAGTCGCAGGAGATAGCTTGAGTCTGGACCAGAATTAGCAAACAAAACTTGAAGCAGCTCGAAAATCGCATCGTTCTTCCTCTTATTTTGTAAATGATTAGATCGATAAGTGCAAATGATCAAGTTGATAACGGGCGTTGGAGAAAAATTCAGAAGAAATGTACGCAAGGCAAAGAGGCAGCTGGCGATGTGGGAAGAAGATCAGAAAGATTGGTGCTGCTACCTGTTTAAGTACACACTGAGGGTGGATTGGGAATTTCGTAGTATGGAAGAAAGTTCGGGAGCCACACGCCATGGCATTGCGCCCTCAGCCGGATCTTCCGCCCGGCGTTGTTGTGAGCCCTGGGGGCGGCACAAGGCGGCACAGGGCGGCACCACTGGAGTATGACAAGCTGGAGTGGCTCGAATAGTCAAAAGTATTGTATGAGTCGAGAAGTTGGCTGTTGGCCGACGAGGGATGGTCCCTCCTTCCTCCAAGGCAACAACACTTTTTCCCTCCGACTGGCTCATTGAGAGACTGTATATGAGCATCGCATCCTGGAGCGGTATTTCTTCCGCGAGACTCATGGGCCGTCAAGTTCAACTTAGCACTCTACGGATATTTCTTGTCATGAAAGACCTTGTAATATGGAGGACATCAGCTCCTCATTACAAATGTAGCGCCCACCTGGCAGTGGGCACCGACTCGGTCCGGATTCGGTTGCCCTTCAGGGACCTCCAATCGTGCAGGCATATCGGCCGGTCAGACTCCGGTCATGGCGAAAGAATGGCCAAAAATTTATTCTACGAAGTCTACGAGGCGGCACGTGGCCATATTTTCCATCGTGTCCTTTTTGTGAAGATGAAAAAGCTGACTGTGACATGTGTGTGCTGTGCTGTGAAAGGTGGCTGACAGCTTGGGTGACATGACATCATCGTTGTGCAGTCGCCAGAGTCGGTTGGTAAAACTGAATGGTCAACAAGCAGCACAGCCGGAAAATCGCAAACTTGACTCCGAACAATTCAGAAAGAGAACTCCAACCTCAAAAACCGCTCAAACCGTTCATGCCTGATTCGTCTAGGCTTCTATCAACAACGCCTACCTCAACTGTTACTCAAATTCTCCTCCCTACGACTGGTCAACGACAACAATCAGCTAGTTGAACACCTATTTGCTTGTGGACCATTATGGATGAACCTACCGACAGAGAGTGTCTGTTGAGCTCAGAAGACCGTTCATTCGAAGCCCCAGATATCCCAAGTCCCGAACCAACAAGCTCTCAACGAGCTCAGCAGAAGGCTGGCTTGAGTTATCCTCCCCGTCTGGCCAGTACCATCGCGAGTAGAGAGTCTGCATTCGAAGCAGATTCAGATACTGTATCAGAGTTCGATTCAACAAGGAATACACCAACTCGAGGGGAAGGGCTAGATCCGTCGTCCGAGTTAAGGATGACCGGGCTTCTAGAAGCCGGACAGCGAAGAGGAAGTGTGATGACGACTGGAGATGACAGACCGAGTTACATGTTTAGTGATGATATCGAGGAACCACTACTTCCACAGGATCGAAGCAAGATAGGCGGACCATCGAGGCAAGAATCGGACGACTACAGTCATCTACTGGATTCGGGCACGGGGATGATGGCCGGGGTAGCGAACATGGCCAACAGTATCTTGGGCGCAGGGATCATCGGCTTACCGTATGCACTAAGGAATGCGGGATTCCTGACGGGGACAGTGATGGTCATCGTCCTGGGTATCGTCACCGATTGGTCGATCAGATTGATCGCCTTGAATAGTAAAATGACCGGCCAAAGATCTTACATCGGCATCCTCGAACAATGCTTCGGCTTCCCTGGGAAAGCCGCCGTCTCCTTCTTTCAATTCATCTTCGCTTTCGGTGGAATGTGCGCCTTTGGCGTCATTGTCGGTCAGCCTTCACATTCTCTAAAGTAATTTATCAAATGGGGTCAAGGAAACCCATTTTTTAAAAAACTAGTTATGCTGGAAACTGATGGAATCATTCTGTTTTTTTTTGTTCACAAAAAATAAACAAATTAATGAACTGATTTCTAGGTGATACAATACCACCGGTACTTTCAACATTATTTCCATTTGTTCCGAAATCACAATGGTTCTCATTCTTATTCTCGAGATCATTTGTGATCACTTTCTTCACGATAACGGTCTCATATCCGCTCTCACTTTATCGAGACATTGGTAAATTAAGCAAAGCTAGTGCTATGGCACTCATGAGGTAACTTTTTCTTTATCATTTAATTTGTCTTTTTTTTTCTCATTCAAATCACTCGTTTTCTTCTTCTTTTTCTTTTTTTGAAACAAGAAGGTTGAGTTTTTTTAATTTTTAATTTTTACTTTTATGTTTGTTCTAACCAAACCAGTATGGTGATGATTGTTTTTTCTGTCGCCCTTGGTGGTCCTTCAGTTGATCCAAAGCTGAAAGGCAATCCATCTGCTCGATGGACGTTCATCCAACCCGGGATAGTTGAAGCTATTGGTGTCATCAGTCAGTCAAATTTTGCTTGCTTGAATCTTGAGATACATGATTTCATAATCATTATCAGCCCTTCTCCTTACATTCCTGCTCATAATAATTGGAGCTTACTGATCCGGATTAAATATTATTATTTCAGGCTTCGCTTTTGTCTGCCATCACAACTCCTGTAATTATTGTTCCATAATGCTCCCTCCATGGATACATGTTCTATCAAAAGAAAGCTCAAAAACAATTGTCCCCTCCTTTTCTATTATCTTGATGCTTAAACAATGAATTGCAGTACTGATATATGGCTCACTAAGAACACCCACATTGGACCGGTTCGCCCAAGTCACTCATGTATCTACAGCATTATCAGTATTCGCATGCTTGGTCATGTCGTTCTCGGGATTCCTGACATTCACCGATCGAACCGAAGCGTATGTCCTCTCAATCCCCCTGCCCATTGTCTTACAACCAAGGCTCTTCTAACATAGTCTGAAATCCTACCCTCTTTCCAGTAACATTCTCAATAACTTCCCTCGGGATGACCTAGTCATTAACATTGCTCGGGTCTGTTTCGGATTGAATATGTTTACAACTTTGCCATTGGAGTGTTTTGTTTGTCGAGAGGTAAATGTACAATTCTACGCTCAGCTTTCCTGATCCTTCTCTTCTCATCCCATTTTCTTCTCCGCTCCGAAAGACCTCTTTGTTTCATGAAGACCTTTAAAGGCTCATTTTACAACATTGGGCTTGCTCTCTACCTGACATTGTTTCATAACTGACCATCCTTTCATTGCGTTGGTTTTTCGCACTAGACAATCGATACATTCTTTTATCCGGACGAGATGTTCAATCTGAGGAGACACGTGATTCACACCACTTTATTGGTGGGGATCGGAATGTTACGTGAGTAGAATTTACTCAAGAACACCAGCCTGAGCATAAGACCAACCAATGAATGATTAATTCTGAATCTAATGAACCTTTGAAATTATTCCTAAACGAATTGAAGTTTCATTATGGACGTGTGATCTAGGAGTAGTCCTAGAGCTAACAGGGGGACTAGCAGCCTCGGCATTAGCCTACGTGTTCCCAGCCGCTTGTCAACTAAAGCTATCCAGTAAAACCGGCTCGATCTTTGAGAGGGAGAACTGGGCCGGACTACTGACAGTGGCCTTCGGATTGGCCGTCATGCTCATCAGTACTATCACCTCTCTCTCTAAGGCTCTCGATCCTCATCGTGTGCCAAAAGTTTGTCTTTGATCTTCCTTCGTCTCTTTGATCCCTTTTCCCTCCATCTCTTTTCTTTGTTCTTCTCTGGCTTTCCCAACTGTTTTTGCTTTGTGACCATCTCCTCTCAATACACACTTTGTTTCTCTTATGGATAACTTCACTGCACAATTACCTCTTTTCTTTACACATGTAATCATCATTCTATTTCAATGTAAATAAGATTTTTTTTTCACATGTTTTGTTTTCCCTTGACTTTTCTTTTTCTCTGAGAACTTGCAAATTTGTTGTTTTAACTTAATCAATCTTATTATTTTTTTTTCTTTCTTTCATTCTTTTGATTTTTTTTTTTGGCAATCAGAAATCATTGCCAAGTTGTGATGAATAGCAATGGAAAAGAGAAGAAAAGAGTGCTGTTTGGATGGTGGAGGACTGTGATATGTTGTAATAGATTGGTTGTGTTGTGATTTAGTGTGGGTCTAAACCAAACAACCAAAAATGTAAGACCCTCTGAGCTATGGATTATACATTGCTGCTTACATCTTGTGGTTTTTTTTTTTGACAGTCATACATATTTGCATAGGTAGGAGAAGTTATGTATGATGTGCATCATAGTTTTTGTGAGGATGTATTGTAGATCAAGAGAGAAAAGTACAAGAGATCCAAATTGAAATACTCCCAGCTGGCATCTCTATATGATCCCCCATGATATAGCCTCAGGTTACAATATTATAGCAACAGTGAACAGGCCATTTTTTAGTCTTCCCCTCCCAAGAGTCCCAAGACAAAAACAACCCGACCTTGAAACGGGTCATGTTGAGTAGTTTGATACCCTAAAAGCTACACCAAGCAGCAGACAAATCCTTGCAAGGGTTGGGTTGATTGGTGCAGGGGTGTGGCAGGCCGTGGGGGGCTTGGGTTTTTTTGATATTGAATATCTGGTGGTTGTCCCGCAGTGGACCAAGTTGGACAGGGTTGTTCCCTTTGAGCAGAAAAGAAGAAAGACCACAACAACTCACGAAAAAAAAAAGAAAAAGAAGGAGACGGAAAACGACAGGAAACGAAACCCATTCAGGGGGGGGAAACACACACACGATCACCCTGATCAAAAAAGACAGCAGACGGACACATTCAAAAGACGAGATGGAACCATCAGCTGACCAACCCATCCAAAACCCAGCCCCTTCCTCCCCCACTATCACAACAACGACAAAGACAACGACAACGACGACTCCGAAGACTTCGAATAATCCAAAGACTACGACTCCAAAGACTGCAGCTCCAAAAAACACGACCACCAAGCCTCGCAAATATGATGCTAATTACTTGCCAGTCACCGATGCTGAGATCCAATCTCTGGTCGCCTGTTCAGCTACCAGTAAGAGTTTGGATACCCCTCATTATTATCAAAAGTGACTATTGATAGAGAATTGTTTTTTTTTTTGGAGTGTAGAAGAACAATCCGAGGCAGCGTTTACCGAGTTCGAACAGAGTCGATACTCGGAGAACTGCAATACGAACCGAGGCTATAAGTCGGAAGAGGACCGCTGGCTGACGCGCTTACGGCGATATCTGAAGTTTTTTAATGGACGAAAGACGGCCTCAGGCTGGCCGATCACCCCGGAGAAGTTCATCCTCTGGGCCCACCGGGACCCACGCCCCACGCTCCGATCCATCACCACTTACTTGCAGACCATCGAGGCCGCTCGTCTGGCCACCCATCATCTCTTCGCCCCTCATTTCCCTACTCTCGATAATCAGCCGCTTCCTCTCCATCCTGAAGTCAAGAATACGATCGACTATTTCGAACGTAAATTCGCTGGGAATCCGACTACCACTGCTGCGGACAAACCCGGCAACTCTAATGCTAAACCCAGTGGCTCAAATGTCAAAGCTAGCAATAGCTCTACAGATAAAACTCATCACTCAACTGCAGCGAAAGTTAAAACTAGAGGAGACAAACCAAGTGGCACTACCGACAAAACTACCAGCGCTGCCGCCAACAAGAGCTGCGATACTGCCAAACCTTCCAGCTCCAATCATGCCAAATCTACTAGCTCTACTACGAACGCCGGAAGCTCTACCGTGAAGGCCAGTTGCTCTGCAGATAAAGCTGGAAGCTCTGCTATGAATACCAGCAGCTCTACAGAGAAAGCTGGAAGCTTTCCTATGAAAACCAGCAGCTCTACCGAGAAAGCCGGGAGCTCTACTGTCCAAGCGGGTGGTTCAACTGCCAAAGCTAACACACATATCCACCCAGCCAGCAACCCTGCTGATAAAGATAGAACCAAAGACAGGCCGGATAGTGAGAACAAAGCTAGCAGAACTACTACCCCCACTGATCATCCACCGGATCTTCCCAAAACGAAGAAGCTCGTACTGACGATGAAGACCCCCAAACTCCCCGAAAAAGCGGCGTCAACGACACCTAATACTACTGTTGCTGCTTCCAGATCCACTGAAGCTCCTACCAAACCTCCACCGAAAAAATCGGCCTCGCTCCCTAATCAACCTGCCTCCGTCCCCGCCTCATTGCCTCTTAAACATCTCAATAGAATTAAGAAGAATGCTCCTCAAGCGACGTGTTCTGATGAGAAATCAAGAGATAATCTGCCCCCGATTTCCCACAGGAATTCGGCCCCTCACTCCGAGTCTTCCTCGAGGAGTAAGAGAGCACCTCAATCGACAACGCCCGATCATGCTGTAGATCTCTCCCACATTTTTAGTGCCGTGGATCCTAGTGATGATGATCTTCCCCTCTTTCGTCGACCCCCCTCGCCCAAAAAGAAAAAGAAGAAAATCATCGACAACAACAACAACAAGAAGAAGAAGAAGAATAATAATAATAATAGTAATGATCACAATAATAAGCCGATTCCTATTAATTCTTCGCCAAAAACATCACGAAGACTTTCGGGAAGCTCTGATGATTGTCCTTTAGCTCTGCTTCCGACCCCTCCCTCTCAACGCAAAAAAATCAAAACCTCTCATCATGATCATCATCAATCTTCTGGTCTAGAGCCAGTCTCGTCGGGACTGCGGGATGTTAAGGTCACCGAGCCTCCTATCTATGACCAAATCCAGGTCTTCACGGATTCCAGAATCCCCGAGCTTCGTCGACAAATCTTACAGGCTCTTCGAAATGATCATCCAAGTGAGTCCATTTAAAGAGCTTCTTGTATTCATTTACGGGAACGTGATGGATTTTAAGAGACTGACTTGATATTAAAAAAATTTGAAATTTGGTGAAATGAAACAAAAACAAAAAAGATAATTTCAGTCCGCAGGAAGTGATAGAAGGGATCTCAGTCCAGATAGCATGTTTAACGGGGCCCGAGGGAGAGCTACGAAGGATCGGGACGGCGGAAGATTTGGCGGGCTGTTTGACGAGTTATCTGGAGTACTGGGCCACGGAGGGGATCTCGGGGTTCCCGATGAGCGGGATGAAGATGAGTATGTGGCTGGACTCGTGTGAGCCGGCGGTGACGAAGCAAGAAGCCTCGGACATCCCCTGGAGCTTTGATTTATTATGTCGGAAGATCGTTGGCGGCTTTGGGGCGGAGGAACAAGTGACGATGTTTTCGTATCCTCAGTCGATCCTCGAGGCTCCCGTCTGGCACTCCTTCCTGGACTCCTTCGGATGGAGCTCGCTCGCCCGACTCCAGCACCCCCTCATCATCCCCTCCCCTCCTCCTCTCAATCTGTCCTCTCAGAACTTGCGCTCCTCCCCCAAGCCCCGCTCCAGACCCCCCTCCTTCTCCACTATCGGTAGCTCCCTCTCGTCCCTCCCTCTCTCCCCTTCTCCCTTCCCTGATCCTCCTCCGGATTCGGCTAACTCTGGACAGTGCTTTCCTGCTCATTCCAACTCTGATCCCGTACGTCTTTCTTTCTTTCCTTTCTCCTCTTTCTTTCATTAACTTTCCTTTTTCTTTTTTTTTTGGGGGCGGGGGGGGGTTGTAGAGAGATAAAGATACCCAACTCCTTCTCGACAATGATCATCATCATCATCAGATCGATGAGGATGAACACCAGCTTTCTGGGGTCCAGGTGGCGTACAAACGCGATTCGATCCATTCCGTCCAACACCAGACTTTCTTACACAATTTACATCGGTTCTTACAACTCCTTTCTTGAGTCTTCCCCCTTCCCCTTTTTTTTAGTCTTTATGTAGTTGTATGCTTATTTCCCCCCCTTTTTTTTGGCTTTTGTTTCATCGCATTGTTTGTTTTTTTTTTTCTCAATTTTTTGGGGATTGGGGGCTTGATATAGGGGTTTTTTTTCCCCCTTCATTTTTTTTATCTTTTTTTGGGGTTATCCTTCACAACTCGCATAAATAGTTTACAATATGTAAATATAGCAATAGCATGTTGGTTTGTTTGGTTTGTTTTTTGGTTTGGTTGCTCTGGTCGTGATACCTTGGCCTCGTTTATCCTTCTCGTTCTCGTTTAGATTGGTGTACATCTATATTTACATACATGTGTGCATAAATAAATATACCTTGCTTTCTTATCCTCAGAACCTCTTGTTGTTAGGCCTGAGGCAAGAGATGAAGAAACGCTCCGCGCGCGATCAGGTCGCGCGCCACTGGTCAGCTGTGCGCCACTTGATCGCGGGAGCCCAAAAGAGACTTGAACCCCTTCCTAGGAGGTACAGCTGTCATCACTAGTCAGTCTGACAGGTCCAGTTCAGTAAAAAAATAAAAATAAAAAAATAAAAAATAAAAAGATTTCGCGAGTCCAAGTGGACAACCCTTTCACGAAATTGCTGTATTTACTGAAGGCTGGGCCCTCCCGTGCGCGATCAGGTCGCGCGCCACTGGTCAGCTGTGCGCCACTTGATCGCGGGGGCCCAAAAGAGACTTGAACCCCTTCCTAGATAAGCAGGCCCAAGCCAAGCCACTTGTTTGCTAAACTGCTCGATGGACAATCATCATCTCTCTATTGGAACAGGGTCAGACGGAAAATCAAAAGACAAGCGAACTCAGGATGACGGAACGGATGAGTATTCTTCGCTCTCAAGGACCCAATTGATCGATCATATCCAATACTTGAAATCACAACTCGAACAAACACAAACACAAAAACAATCACATCAAATCGTCCAAAATGGGATAGAAAAAGAGCCCAACTTGTCAACAGACATCGCAATTCAGAAGAAGACGCAGGAAAAGAAGAACAATGAGAAGAAGAAGAAGAAGAAGAAAGAGCTAGATTTCGACCGACATCCGAAGCGGAAGATCGCCCTAATGATATCTTACCAGGGCGAATTACATGGAGGGCTAGCCTGGCAGCCGGATGTCACCCGACTGAGCACGGTAGAGGGGGAGTTATTCCGGGCGTTATTGGTTGCAAGATTAGTCGAAGGAGCGGGGGAGTTTGAGGAGCAGGAGGAGGAGGATTCGGAGCGATGGCGGGGCCTGGTGGATTTGAATAAATGGGGATACTCGCGGGCCGGCCGGACGGATGCTGGGGTCAGTGGGGCCGGCCAGGTGGTCAGCTTGTGGGTCCGGAGTCAGCTCCGCTCGGTCCCTGCGCCCTTCGGCTTCCTCCCGCCCAAGAAGACCGACTCCGATGATGGATCGGAAGAGGAACCGAGAGGAGAATCAGCGGGACCGAAGCAGGAGCAGGAGCAGGAGGAGGCAGAAGAAGAATTGCAGTACCATACGATCATCAACTCGATCCTTCCCAACTCCGTCAGAGTCTTGGCTTGGTCGCCCGTCCACCACGACTTCGACGCCCGCTTCTCCTGCCAGGCTCGCCATTACAAATACTTCTTCTCGCTCTACGAATCGCCCCAGGCGCCCGGATTGGACATCGAGGCCATGAACCGGGCGGCTGATCGACTGATCGGCGAACACGACTTTCGCAACTTTTGCAAGATCGACCCTTCTAAACAACTCGCCCATTTCCGGAGGAAGATCCTTTCCGCCGAAATCAAGCCCGTCCTCGACCCTCATCATCATCATCTTCTTCTTCTTCAGCAGCAGCAGCTCTCCGGTCCTTCTGGATCATCAGAAAAACATCCGCATCCCCAGATCTATCCCGACGCTTTGGCTCCAGAAACTAATCCGTTGTTCGTCCTAGATCTCGTCGGCACAGCCTTTCTATACAACATGGTCCGCCACATCGTCTCGGTCCTATTTCTGATCGGGAGTGGAAAAGAAGAGATCAGTGTGATCGACCGGCTCTTGTACACCGAACCTAATGAGCAACCATCAATCATAACCACCGCATCAGAAGAAGGGCGTTCTTCTTCTTCTTCTTCTTGTATGGTCGAGAAGGTGGAGCCGATCGACTGTAAACCCGAGTATCCTCATGCTAGTGCCCTCCCATTGCTCTTGTATAGATGCGTCTACCCGGAGCATTCGTTTCGGTGGACCTCCACCCCCATCGGGTCCGCCCGACCGCCCGCAGCCGAGCCTTTTGTGCACTGGACCGCCGCCCGGATCCGTGCTCAACTCGCTCTCCATCTCCTCCATACACCTTCCCCCCCTTCCCCTCCTCCTTCTTCGACTTCGACTTCTTCGACTTCTTCGAGTTCGGTTAGGGTCTTTCAGCCCATTGGAGCCGCACTCGGGCGCGTTTCTTCCGCCTATATCCCCCTCATTCGAAGACCTAGGAATCCTCACTTCTCACTCGTTAATAGGCTTTGGTGGAATAAGGTCGGCGCCCGTCGTCATGCTAAACGTCATCTCGTTTGATATTCTTCCTGTTTTTTTTCTTTTCTTTTCTTTTCTTTTCTTTTCTTTGATTATTGTAATCATGTCAAGTTGTTGGAAACTAATCCCCCCCGGGGATGGTTCTTCCGCTTCCTTAAAGCTTTCATATAATACATACATATATATACACTCTTTGGAAAAAAAAAATTCAACAATTATCAAGGTTTTTTTGGCTTTTTCTGGATTACATAACGTTTTGATAATCTGTAAAATATTAGTAAGACCTTTTATGAATGACACATTGGGAAGAGAGTGTGTGTGTGTATGTGTGTTTCTTTGTGCCTGATTAGTAAGTAATTGTTTTCAACTATATTTGTATCAAAAAAAAAACACTCAGATTTGATCTCTGATTGTTTTGCTCATTGAAGTCTATAACTAATCATGACTCCATGGATTTTTACTTTCTTATGTGTAGTCACTTATCTCACTCCAACAAAATTGTGAATCTCTTGATACATACATACAGTGTCTCCTCTTCATCTGTGGTACATGAATATGTATGTGCTCTTATATATATTATTGTGTACCGTAAACATCGGTCCTTGGTGGTCACAATGGATATGTTTTTTCTTTTTTCTTTTTAGTTGGTTTGGGGGCATGGGCTATTTGTCATTGTTTTTCTTCCGGGATACATCTTTGGGTCTCCTTGTTCTTTTTTTAATTCCTAATTTGATCAAATTCTCTGGAATTTTCTTTCTTCTTCTTTTTTTTTTTTTAAAAAAAATGATGTTTTTTTTTTTTCCCAGTGATCATCCTGATACATGTGAATGGACATTACATACACACATAACTCGTTTTCTGCCTTTGGAATTCATTCATATTATGGTTCTTGCCAAGAGCGAATGAGTGAACACTAATTTGGTACAGATTATGTATCCACCCAAAAAAAAACCAGGTTCATGTCTTCATACACCTGACCTTGATGTGAGATTGGGAACAGAATTTGTTTGGAGATCTGATCTCATCGTTTCCAGATTACACTGAAGCACTTTTTGAATTTATGACTTTCAGATGTCCTCATGGAGGCAATGGTATATGTACAGAGTTTACCTCGGAGGCTCTGATTAGACTTGTAGATTTGTTGAGCTGGTTGTCAGGGAACTGATCAAGTGCACTAGAGAACAAGATGAAGATGGGATGGACTGACTGAGGGAAGGTCCAAGGCTGATCGACGTCATTGAGGAGGATCAGTCGACTTGACGATTCACCGTCGATAACACCCCCCCAGCCAGTCTGGGGTTTAATCCGCAGAGGGGTATGGGTTTTTGGGGGGGCGCTTTTGCTTAATAAGCTTCTTTCGCCCATAAAACCTTCAACTCACCCTTGACCACCACAGCACTGCTTCCCTTCACACCCTTCACTCCATCTACTCACTTCTGTCTCCACTCCCCCTCATCTTGAACTCAAAACTAACATCAACTATTTACCACTACTACTACCACCATCATCATCATCATCATCATCTGTTCTCAAATGTCAATCGAATAAATAAGCTACCTATCTGGAAACTACTCGTAAGCTACCCTCAACTCACTCTACTCTCTTTCCTCACACACACTGACCACTTCATCCAAAAAATACCCCAGACACCCACACACACAATCTTAACGGCTCATTTGCATTTTTACCACAGAGTTTCTCAGGGAAAAGGAAGCCCGAAAATCCAAAAAGAAAACATATCAAACAAACAAAGAAATAGGATCATTTGAAAGATGTCGTCTTCACCATCCCATCATCAAGACCAACCAAACTCATTATCATCAGCAGAAGTGGACGCAGAACAATCAAACCGAGAACAAAGAACGATAGGAGATGAAGCGAATGTAGGAGGAGAACCAGAACCATACGAATCAATGGCAGGTGTAGAAGGAGAAGAAGAAGAAGAGGAGCATGATTTGCCGACGCCACCCTCGCCGAGTCTAGGCCAACCGGGAGGCCCCCACGAGCCGGGATATCTGAACGACTTACCCTCGTTGACGCCCTGCAAGCTGACGACGTCGGTTTCGGACTCCGATTCGGACTCGATTCCGGAGCGATTCACGGACGATGACGATGATCAAGAAGCAGGCGAAGAAGGAGAAGAAGGAGAAGAGGGCCCGGAAGGTCTGCTAGATGCACTCAGTCTGGTGCCCTCATCTCAGCCCGTCTCCTCTTCCCCCTCAGCCGCACACCACCACCACCATCATCATCATCATCAGCAACCTCTTATTCCCGCCTCCCAACGCACACCCTCCAGTCAAACTTCCCTTCCCAATTCACACATCTCCCTCAGCGAACCCGCCCCCCTCAGGGGCCCCAAAATGGGACGCAAAAGGTCCCTCTCCGCACTCGTCGCCTTGCGCTATCGGGGCGGAAAGGGCGACGCGGAAATCGGCGACGAGGAACGCGGATTGTTGGCCCTCGATCTGGACACTTATGTATGTCATCTTTTCTCCCCCCTCCGAATGTCTAGTTTACTTGATTTTTTGGATCTCGGTGGGGAGTCAGCTGACTGGTTCCTTTTTGTTTTTGGATTATGTAGATCAATTCGGGCGAGCCAGAGATTCCCGAAACCCGGGCCCTGCCGCCCTCGGCGCTCTTCCCCACGCTCTCATCGACGCTCATTTCAGGTCTTCCCCATCCCTCGTCTTTGGGCAATCCAGCAAAGGGAGCAGGCTCGCCGCATCGAAGGAACTTAACCTTGCCCACGAAAGCCGAAGAGGACGAAGAAGAGTTGAATAGAGAACATGAGGAGACGGCGGGCGAGCCCCAGACACCCGGGTTGACGATCTCCCTCCATCCCGATCATCCCTTGCTCCTGCCCACTCCTAGGTCTCACTGGCCCTTCGCCGGTGGAACTGGACCCGGTAATACCTCAAGAGGGTTCATCCCCGGAAGAGCTCTCAACTTGCTCTCTCCTACTACTCCCACTCATCCTTCTCCTTCCTCGGCTCACAATCTTCCTGCCCTCACTTCTGATTCTGTGCCTCCTGCTACTCACTCTTGAGTCCCTTCTTCTTCAATACGTCTGTTTGCTCTTTCTTTTCTTCTTTTGACTCGTTTTTTTGTTTGTTTGTTGCTTTGCGTCTTTTTTGTTTCCTCTTCCTCTTCTTCTTCTTCTTTGTTTTGATGCTGTTTTTTTTTTTTTTCTTCTTCTTCTTCAAAAAAAAACAAGCTTCCCCACATATTTATTTATTTGCTTATTTATATATACAGATAAAGAAAAGAAGAAGAAGAAGAAAAAAAAGGCCTCCATTGTGTTTTAGTTTGTTAAGTTTCCCTCAGTCTGTCAGTCAGTCTGTTTTATTGTTGTGTTGTGTTGATTTATGTTTGATAGTAATATGTTCTTTTCTTTCCTGTTTTGGTTTTGTGTGGTGGTGGTGGACTGGTGGTGGTGATAGTAGGTGTGTAGATGGTACAGTCAGGTTTTCAGCTAGATGATCACACTGAAATATGGGAGGTTCATTCTGTCCTTCTATTTTTGTTTTTGTTTTTGTTTTTGTTTTTCAAGAATGTTTGTGAACAAATAATGATTCACAGATACATGCCAAACCTGTTGTCAGAGGTGGTTTTTTGTGTGAATTGATCAAGCAAGACTCTCTTTCTCTTTGGAGGCTTGAGGTCCAAAGCTTGAAGTATCTGGCACTCTGGGCATCATATGGGGGCTGGTACCACAGCCCTGATTTATTTCTGGTCAACTCATTTATCTAAATTTTTTGTTCTGTTCTTACAACTAGTCCAGAATTGATGATGATGAGATCATGAGAGGCCATCATGACAAGTTGATGACTTGGCAAGGTTTCTCTTGGCTTTCTTCTCAAGAAACCAATCTGGGTGTAGTGGGAAAATCAATGAAGTACTTCAGAACAATCAGTTATGGATTGACATGTATAGGAAAAACATGCCAAGACCCAGCTGGACCAGTAGTGTGAATTTTCTGTTGGGCTGTATTTTATGCAGGAGCCAAACTTGACACCCAGTTTAATAAATATCTATATAGAGCCCACACATCATGGCTAGCTGGCATAGTGGGAGTATCTTCTCACTTCAAGAGCCCTTGTTGTTGCAATACCTGAGTTCAATCCCTACCCCTGACCAAGAACCTGCATTCCAGGAGCAACCTCATCACATCTTCAAACCATGCACATCAGTTTGGCATCCAGCATGGCCCTTGTGCCCTTCCTCCATTTCGGCCTGGTAATTGGGGTCAGCCTCAAGTGTGGGAGATGTCCTGCTGATAAAGCCGGATTCACTCTCAATCCAACCGGCACTGAAACTAAATACTCCTGTAGGGTGCTCAGTGGATATGCTGATTGCTCAATTGACATTCCATGCATCCAGTTCCATTGTGAGGAATGTGGATGGGCTGCACTCAGGGCCACTTGGGGTTGCACTGCTAAGCATGCTACCCCACACCTGTATTATTACATCCCAGGTGTTCACTAAAACTGGGAAAGTGAACAGCTTTGCATCTATTATAGTGCAGAAATACTACCGACTGAAATAAACTTTTGGTTGTCTGCTGGACTGGATCCTGAAATTGATAGCAGGTAACTCAATTAAACACTAGCTTAACACAAGCCCATTCATTCATTGGGCCTGGTATTGTTGCAAAGCAAGCTTCCAAAGCAGGGGATTGCATGTAATGTCAGCTTTTTGGCCTGAGCACCTGAGGCCATGCCTCCATTTGCTGAGTTTTTGCCCTGCCAAGTTTAATCATCTTCCCTCATACCAAAACTGATTCCCTTTGAGCTGTGAGACTCATCTCATCTTTCTGCATCTCTTGGTGTAGTTCCCATTGCCTAAATCCCACCCATTAACAGTGAAACAGATACAATAAAATACAGTATCAGCAGATTTTTTTTTGTATTGTAATATACTTTTTTCTGATACTTCAAAACATTTGTATTGCATATCACATCTAAAATCAGATGCAATATCATTACATTTTATCAAAAAACTACTACACATTGTTTGGCCAATGAGCAAGAAGAGCTGTTGACCGTTTCTCAAAACCAAATGATGCCATGATCAAATAACTCCATAATTGGAGTGTTGACACTAAGGGTATCACCACAGCAACTCAAATCCAACAGTATTCAGAGAAAGGTAGATACACATACAGGTATTAGGGGGTATCAAATATAACCAAATCCACCATTATTTGATTGACTGGTTTGGAAAAATCCACACTTTTTTAAACACATTGGTGATTCATTTAACCCCCTTTGATGTATATTTTTTGGGGGGAAAAGTGACTGGCTTCTAATAGGGCTGGTCTCTGGATATCCGTTATCCGCTGGCGGATACCCGCCCGCTGTAGCGGATACCCGCCAGTGGATGCGGGTTTGGGTGCAGATGTGCCCTTTCCGCTGATTTTCCAGCGGATACCCGGGTATCTCAACGGATACCCAAGGCTGGAAGGGTTTCCTTCCAGTCGACAAGGTACATGTACCTCGTCGACTGGAAGGTCCAGCCGGCGGGGTACATGTACCTCACTGGTTGACTGGAAGGAAATCCTTCCGGTCGACGAGGTACATGTACCTCGTTGACTGGAAGGAAACCCTTCCAGCCGGCGGGGTACATGTACCTTGCCGGTCGACTGGAAGGGAATCCTTCCAGCCAACGAGGTACATGTACCTCAACGGCTGGAAGGATTTCCTTCCAGCCGCCTCGCCGGCCCTTTAAAGGGCGGGTATCCGTGGATACCCGCTCGGATACCCGCTGCGGCTGACGGATACCCGCTAGCGGGTGCGGATGCAGATGCAGATGGCCATTTGGCCTGAAAAAGCAGCCGGATATCCGCATCCGCGCGGATATCCAGATGTGTAGCGACCAGCTCTAGTTTCTAATGGTGGATTTCCTTATATATCTGATACCCCCTATTGCATTGGTGTCACTGTTGGTACAACACCTCAAACATCTGGGATTTCAGGTTTCGCTACCTGAATTTTAGTTTGTATCACCACTTCTAGTATTGCTGTAGCAGCACATAGTACACAGTGCCAAATAGACAAGCAATTTCTAAGGACCCTTGGTTTGTTCTGCTTAGAGAATCTCTAACAGTCCTGGGGACAGTTGGCACATGTTCTCTGGCCCGCAAACACATTTCACAGGAGTCCCAGGTCAGCTCCAATTGTGGATTGGCACTTTGTGACCTGCAATCCAACTCTACTTCACACCAAAAAAACATTACATATCCTCAATATTGCCGCCATGTCCAACAGCCTGGAAAAGATTCTCTTATTGATGTACAACAGCAACAAAATTTTTGCCTCCCTTCAAAACACAACTGCTTTAATTATGAAGACAAAAGAGACAAGAAAACATGTTGGTTCAACACCAGTAAGAACAGAAATCCACCACAACTGACTTCAAGGACACAAGCAGTTATACAACAATTACTTTTCTGAAAATTGCACTTACCCCCATTACCTGTTTTTTGTTGATTCAGGATTCACAGGTCTCTCTTCCTAAAAATTGTTGAATATATTGAAAAAGCCAAACAATACTTCCTACAAAAACATGAACTGCTGGAAGGATAGGATTTCTGTCTCTTCAAAAGGCAACCACTGCAATGAAAATGATAGTGTAGGGGTGTAGTGGGGACTCGATTGATGAGTACCTTTGCATGAGTAAGTTAGTAATCATTTTTTTGTAATCAGGTCTTTGCCAGTCTGATTACATTTGATCTACCAGGCAAATCAACAGCAATCAAATGTCTTGAAATGTTTTTCTGGAAAATTGTAAAGGTTTACTGCAATGAATACTCAAGAAAGCCAAATTAAAAAAAAATGCAACAAGGCTCCTGGCAGTTGCAGGAAGGGTGTGGTTTTCCTGGGATGACGGGATCCCTAGACTGTATCAATGGTGGGCCAGCTATGCTAACTGTAGTGGTAGTGTAGCTAAAATAAGCTAAAATTTAGTGTAGTGTTAGCACAACTCTGAAAATCTGCACTAACACTACACGCGCAGGGCACCAAAGCTTGTTAGCTTTCAGCGTGATTTCATGCATTTGTGCTGCCACCACACGCATGGGGCACAAAAAAGGACCCTCTATGCTGTGCTACAGCTCTTTTTAGTGTCTTTTTGGCCTTTTTTGCCGTTTAAAGTGCTGTAGTGTAGCTGTAATATTGGCACGCTAACAATACCCAAAACAAGGTGTGTTGCTGGCGCCGTTACAAATTAGTGTAGTGTAGTGGTTGTGAGCGCAGGCTAACACTACACAAAAAATAGCTGCTGCTACCGCCAATACACTAAATCTGAAGGGCCCTTTACTGTAGCGGCCCACCATTTACTGTATGCACTGGTGCTGGAAGAATTGCCCAGTAGCTGACCAAGGGCAAGGAGGAGGAGCCAACAGTTTTTCTTGAAGCTGTTGCCTTGTACAGCCTTTGGATATGGCACACCTTTTTGGAATTCCAAGTTCCATCAACAAGATCAACATACTCAACCAATTGCCAATCTTTCAACAGCTTCAGGAATGCAAAGGAGTGTCAGTGTCTTATAAAGTAAATAATAACCAATACAATATCGGTTATTACCTCACAGACAGAATATAACCTCCATACACTTTGTTAATCCAATCAATCTCTGAACCTGTCAGCTTGCTACAATAGCAGAGACAACCTGTCATAGTACACAAACATAACATAAAATACGAAAAGACATGATTACTCACCAGAGATGTTTTTAGATGAATAGTACTGAAAATAAATGAGAAGATCAAATAATAATGGCATTATTTCTCAATATTCTTAATCTAGATGAAGAATAACCTAGGGTAACTCACTCAAAGGTACCATATATTTCAACTACTTCATGCGGCAAATCTACATTAAAGAAATAGGGTGTACCTCCAAGAAGGAAATGAAATATGCTAATAAACAGGTTTAAGACTTGAAACTGATTTGCTGTTTCAAAAATACATTTGTATATTGATAACACGTGTGTGGCACATTTCCAAGGAAATAGCCACATGTTTCAGCTTTCATCTTCTACAGAACACCTGTGGCACATTTCCAAGGATATGGTCATATGCTTTAGCCTCCATGAATGAAGC